GAAGTTTTCGACAATAGGCTCTGCTATCATAATATCTAGCTCAATACAATTTACTATACGGCCGATTGTTCAGCACTCTAGACCTACTGAACTAGCTGTGTTTGTAAAACCATGGAGCGCATGGTAAATAATCAGTTAGTTTGGTTTTTATAATTAGAAACCAATAATCTGATTAGTAACATCCAACGTGGTTTCCGTAAAAACAGAAGTACAATTGACCATTTGGTTCGTTTAGACTGTGTCTTGGTGCTTTTAGAACTTCTCCTGTTGACAGCCTCTATGTCGAGGCTAATGAACCCTCTTTGAAACAACGCCGTGTTAAATTCTCTTCAATATATCACTAAATTACATTCTAATACTTCTAATCCTGCTTATGACTCCGTTTTTCAACCCCTATATGAAGAGCTGTTTCAGAAAAAAACAAAGCTGATTCCACCACTTGGAATTCGGATGAAACCACATATTATTGCTGCAAATATAGATCTAGATATTATCTCACAATATCGTCTCTTGTCTACTCCTCCCTGGCAGCTGGTGAGGCCAGAAATAGACGTTTCTCTCACCCGTTTTATTAAATCTGACACAAATCAACTTATATATCAACAGTGAGTGAGTGAGTGAGTGAGTGAGTAAGTATGGTTTTACGCCGCTTTTAGCAATATTCCAGCAATATAACGGCGGGGGACACCAGAAATGGGCTTCACACATTGTACCCATGTCGGGATGCGAACCCGGGTCTTCGGCGTGACGAGCGAACGCTTTAACCACTAGGCTACCCGACCGCCCCTATATATCAACAGGAATATGTACAATTAAGAAATAAATATGCCACTCACCGTTCAGTGTTTACTGATGGATCCAAGGATGGTGGCAAGGTGACATGTGCCACTGTCGTTGGATCAAAACATATATCATCTAGAATACCAGATAATAGCTCTATTTTCACTGCTGAGGCCAATGCTATTCTTACAGCCTTAGTATACCTTCAAAAGCAGTCTACATTTATCATCTTTTCTGATTCTTTGTCTTGTCTTCAGGCACTAAAAACAGTCTCTTCTAATCATCCAATTATTTTAGATATTTTAGAACTTTATAATGATCTTTCAACTGGCCAATGCGACATCGTCTTTTGTTGGTTGCCCAGTCATGTGGGCATAAAAGGCAACACAATGGTCGATGCTGCAGCAAAAGCAGCACTCAACAAATCTGTGACACCACTTCTCATTCCACACAGTGATTGTAAACCTGTAATCAGATGTTACATCAAAGATCTTATGCAAAAGAAGTGGGACACCCAAGTTGGTATCAATAAATTGCATCAAATTAAGCCAACCATCGGTTACACCTACTTGGGTTGTCAGTCCAGATTTAAAGAGGTCATAATGCGACGATGTCGTATTGGCCATAGCAGATATACACATGAACATATACTGAAAGGTGAGGATCCTCCATTTTGCATCCCTTGTGATGAGAGAATCACAGACAAACATGTCCTGCTTGAGTGTATTGATTTTTCCATCACAAGGGATAAATATTTCAGTGCAACATCAATAATGGATCTTTTTAATAATGTTTCGTCTCATTTAATCATAAGCTTTTTAAAATAAATAGAACTTGCACATAAATTTTGATAAATGTGTTTTGTAATTAATAAATGGTCTTTTAATACTGGTCGAATAAATTGGATAACTAAGATTGTCAGTGGCTGTAGCTCGAAGGGGGTTGAAGTAGTGTAAAATGATTGTCCCCCGGAGATGGTACGTAAGTCCCCGTCATTCACAGTATATTTATTACTACCATGTTTTTTTAATCGCAGAATATGTTCTTTTAATTCGGCTAAATTGACAATAATCGCCAACCACTGAAGGGATGGTGTAAATCCTGCTGGGGTCCATGCAGGTAGCAAAAGAACTGTAAGTCCCCATGGACCCTAGTTGTTGGCGATCTATAGCCTGTTTTTATGTTGTATTGTCAAATGTTAATATATTTTTACATGCTATCTGATTAGTTTTATGTAAATCTGTGATATTCTAGTTATACTGCCCTTCGTCGGCAGAATTGTATACAGTTTAAAATATATTGTTAATGTCAAATTTTGTTTCGTCACGATATGGCTGAAATATTGCCGATGTGACGTTAAACTTTAACTCACTCACTCACTCTAGACATACTGCCTTCGTTACGATATTCCAGCTTATAGTTAAATAGTGTGGCAACGTTCATACAATACAAACGCTACACCAATGATGACGTAAAGAACGTTGCTTAAAACCAACTTGGAGGTGTTTCCGAAGAGCCGACTTAAAACATTACAAATCAACAATAACTAAATAACGTTTGAATAAAATATTTTGAAGGTAATGTGAGGATTTCGTAACGTTTACAACGTTATTGTGGTCTTCCGTCCTGAAATATTGTGGCAAAAATGACACAACAAAACGTCGAGTTTAAATCGTGTAGTCATCGTTGGACGTTAAAATAAATCTTATTGTTATCTTTGAAAAAGTCATCGCCTGTTTTTGTTGCTGTGTTTAGCGCTTTTAACATTTCATGTCAGGAAGAAAGGGGATACTTTTTATTGTTTGTTCGTTGTTTAACGCCGCACCCAGTAATATTCTAGCTATATGTCGTAGGTCTGTAAATAATCGAGTCTGGACCAGACAATCCGGTGATTGACATCATGAGCATCAATCCACGCAATTGGGATCGATGACATGCATCAACCAAGTCAGCGAGCCTGACCACCCGATCCCGTTAGTCGCCTTTTACGACAAGCATAGTCGCCTTTTACTGCAAGCATGGGTTGCTGAAGACCTATTCTACCCCGGATCTTCACGGGTCACTTTTTATTGTAAAATAAGAATAACCAATACGGGGCGTTCGGTTCAAAAGTCAATTTAGCGTTGTTAAATCTACAGCCAATTTAGCTCTCCATTGAACAATAAGTATGGTTATATCCTTTCTACCAAGACAAAGTTAAACGCGACTCCTTGATGTTAGCCAAGAGTGATTGAGTATGATTTTAGCAAGTGAGTGAGTGAGAATGGTTTCAGCAATATTCCAGCAATAGTTGAAGCATTCCTGTCTGAGTAGCATCGTTACATACCTAAAAGAAAGGCGAGGTGAGTTGAAATTGGGATTCACGTCGTGTTCAAGATTATTGCATATAGCGACGTGCATGCACGTGTGTGTGTGTGTGTGTGTGTGTGTGTGTGTGTGTGTGTGTGTGTGTGTGTGTGTGTGTGTGTGTGTGTGTGTGTGTGTGTGTGTGTGTGTGTGTGTGTGTGTGTGTGTGTGTGTGTGTGTGTGTGTGTGTGTGTGTGTGTGTGTGTGTGTGTGTGTGTGTCCGTGTCCGTGTCTGTGTTGTGTGTGTGAGCTTGTACTCGCCCGGACTAATGTCGATTGTATAGTGCATGAATACCCCACTCAGACACAGTACACTGACTCCGAACCGATCAGTACTTCTTTCAGTTCCATAATGCCGAGCGCCAGGCAAGGTAACAACAAGTACCATCTTTTAACGTCGTTTTGGATGACGCAGCGAACCCGACCTTCCGCACCCCGGACAGACGCTCTACCGTTAGACCACGGAGGCGGTCCTCAAAGAAAGAGTTATAAAACAAATAATTCACAATGTAAAACACGCCTGTGTAAAGTCTTTATTGTTTCACTATTCTTGTGTGTTTATAGCATTGTTGGCTTAGCCATTACGCCTGTTACCTACCTATACATGCATATAATTTCGAAAATTTGAAATGATAATAGCTGAAACGAAAGAGCCATGTCTCGCTCTAGTAGTATGCCAATATTGACAGAAAAACATATACGACGTCGCTGCTAAAGAATTCAATATTTCATGAAGAAATTCACTTCATGACCAGTACTAGACAGTGGGAGTATCTAAGTAAGACACTGCCTTTTGCAAAATCAGACATGTTTTACAAGTCCCCTTCTGTCATTACGTCATATCAAATCCATGGGGAGACCGGGTAACAACATCAGTCCCAGCAACGTCGGAAGAGGCGACTGAATGGATCGGGTGGTCGGGATCGATGACTTGGTTGATGCAAGTCATCGTATCCAAACTGGGTTATCACTGGGTTATCTGGACAAGACTCGAATATTTACAGACCGCCTTCATGTAGCTGTAATAGTGTCGAGAGCAGCAAACAAACAAACATGACCATGTGTGCATGAATAACTATCAAATACCATTACCTTAAGTTTGGAGTTTACATGTCTTTATACAACATAATACCATACTAACCAACACATCACCTAAATCTTTAATAGCCCAACCCCTCTGGCTAGTTAAATTCAAGAATCAAATGCAATAATACTCGAATGACATCACTTAAGGTTTGAAAAACACGTCCAGTCCTTGTGTTCGTTTCACGCCGCAGTATTCCAGCCATATGTGTATGTAATAAATCGAACCTGAACCAGATAATACACAAATTAACATGGACTCGTGCCTATTACAGAAGATAAACGATAACTAAAATCAGGACGTTGCTACACATGATATGTTTATGTTTTGACCCTAACACATATGTTTCTGGGGACCTCTGTTCTTATCCGGACGATGCTACACATGATATGTTTATGTTTTGACCCCAACACATATGTTTCTGGGGACCTCTGTTCTTATCCGGACGATGCTACACATTATATGTTTATGTTTTGACCCTAACACATATGTTGCTGGGTACCTCTGTTCTTACCCGGACACCCGGTTACACATGCATATGCCATACCGTATTCGACGTAATAAGCGTCCACGGCGATATTTGCTAATATATGGGCTAGTGAACAATCCCAATTAGCACGCTTTCCGATTGATCCATGTACACAAGACTTATTTATTCGCGTATAATACGCACTTGTGTTATATGCACCCTCAATTACGGGCAGTTAAACTCTGGAAAAATATATCTGTCGTATATAAACATGTCAGGCTGTCAGCATAAACCACGACATTTATCTTTCAACTCTGTTTTTTCACCAAAATAATATTCTATTAAGAGCCCCCTATTTCTAACTTTGAGAGCGCCCTGGGCGCTTATTACGTCGAATACGGTAGTCGGAATCGTACTATGGCTTTATACTATGGAAGTGCTTTGTGATTTTTAATTCATCAATATCGACAAAATATCACAAGTGCTAAGAGTACGCTTATAAAAATGTCCGCCCCTTCAGGCACTGTTGCAGCATATATTAGAGCCTTCACATTTGTAAGAAAAACTCTAAACCTGAATTATGCTTTTTGTGAGAAACAAAATGTAATGAAGTTCCATACTTGAACTTACTTTTTATATATATAATAAATCAGCATTAGATTTAGTATATAGAAAAGACGCAACAATTCATGTATGGCTCCAGTATATTCATCTTATTTAACAGCAAATATTTAAGCTTTGAATATATTAACACGATACCTACAGATTGTGACACATTGTTTACCTAAAGATATTGAAAAACATCACGAAACCACATTATACATCTGTAACAAGGCGTTCAGTGTGTTAGTTCCTTTGTCAGAGAAGGAGTGTGTTGATCGCTGTCAGGATAAACAGGCTGATTGTCGAGGTCAACTCCCCAGATGAACCTGTAACACATGGTTTCACGGCAACACATATAAACAGTTAATTATCAATGTATCATGGTTGTGTAGTGTTCGTTAGGTAAATACACTTTTTAGCTTCAACGTAGCTATGTTGTATTTGTTATATTGAAATGTACCTAATGCCACACGTACATATAAACATCATTAACATAGGGTATTCTTGTTTGTAAATATGTTAAATGGTGGCGACACATTCAAAACTTTAACACCAATTAGTGTTTGTGTGTTAGATCTGTTTTACGTGTACACAAATCAATCATGCAATTTTCTGACATAAAAACAGGTTCGGGTCATTATCAATCATTGTTGATTATTATATAGGACAACAGTATTAGTTATTTGTTTGTTTGTTTGTCTGATTGTTGTTTAACGCCGCACAATATTCCAGCTATATCACGGGGGTCTGTAAATAATCGAGTCTGGACCAGAAAATCCAGTGATTGACATCATGAGCCTCGATCCACGCCATTGGGATACGATGACATGCATCAACCAAGTCAGCGAGCCTGACCACCCGATCCCGTTAGTCGCCTCTTACGACAAGCATAGTCGCCTTTTATGGCAAGCATGGGTTGCTGAAGACCTATTCTACCCTGAATCTTCACGGGTCAGCACTTAGTGAGAGGGTTGGGTTTAATGCGTCAGTGTTCCGTGTAGCACGGCGTGTCAGATTTAGCCCACATTGATCCGGGTCTCAGACGTCGACCATTTTGATTAAACCCACGAGCACGGGTAAGGTGCTGACAACCTAGAAACATAATCGGGGCGAACAGGGATTTGAACCCACGATCAAGTGACGCAACTCTGCACAGCAAATTGCGGCGCCTTAGACGACTGGGCCACCAGTGAGAGTGACCCTTTGTGTCAACCTGGCTGGGCAGACTTGCATAATGGGCCACTGTCCCACAGCTGGAGTGACCGTGAGTTTAGCCGCATATGTGAAACATAAAATATCTTGTATGCGGCGGTCAGTTGGTGCATTCGCTATACTGAATTTACTTTAAGAACAGTCAGATTATTTTACCGATATAGGTTGATTGATATATATTATCTAATACGAATTTGGTGTTAGAAGAAAGCTATGACACAACCAAACACCAAGTAACAACTGTTAACGTGTGAACGTATCTTTACATAAAGAGACCGCCTCCGTGGTCTTGTGGTAGAGCGTCCGCCCGGAGAGCGGAAGGTCCAGGGTTCGATCCCGGGCCGCGTCATACAAAAAGACGTTAAAAGATTGTACTTGTTGTTACCCTGTCTGGCGCTCGGCATTAAGGGGCTAAAACAAGGACTGGTCGGCTCGGAGTCAGTATACTGTGTCTGAGTGGGGTATTCATGTTAAACTGCGGCATGGTATCTCAGTGAGCTAGCACTATAAATCGGCATCAGTCCGGACTAGTACAAGCAGCCACACACACACATACACGTGCATGCACGTCGCTATATAAGTGCAATAATCTTGGACGCGACGTTAAACCCAATTTCACCTCACCTTTACATAAAGAAAATGTCTTACCACACCCCATTTGTTCCATCTGGTATTTCGTTTCTGCGACGACGTTTACAATACGAGTTGTCCGACAATCTAGAGGAAGTTTATTCAAACAGCCGGTGTATGGCACTGCAACTCTGGAATAGTAAGTGACGACTTAATGTCGCGCGGAAACATCTAAGCCATACATTGATGAGAACATATTATTCATTCATTAAAATGATCTACAGTAAAACACAAATAAATACAAGTTCAGTAATTCCACATGAATTCAGATAGTGTAATAATTGTAACATACTTTATGTGGTTTTGTTCGTTATTATATAGGACAGCAGTATTAGTTATTTGTTTGTTTGTTGTTTAACGCCGCACTCAGCAATATTCCAGCTAAATGACGGCGGTCTGTAAATAATCGGGTCTGGGCGTGACAATCCAGTGATTAATATCATGAGCATCGACCCACGCAATTGGGATACGATGACATGCATCAACCAAGTCAGCGAGCCTGACCACCCAATCCCGTTAGTCGCCTCTTACGACAAGCACAGTCGCCTTTTTACGGCAAGCATGGGTTTCTGAAGACCTATAATATTCTACCCCGGATCTTCAAGGGTCTACTTTACGTGGTACATTTTAAGCTGGATATCATTATGAAACCTGATACGCCTTTTTATCAAGACAGGCAATAAGTTTGGTTTTTAAATTTGTACAATTACAAGTTAGACAAGTCAATGTGTCAAATATTCTGCCTGACATTTCAGTCAACTTGTAAACTGACTGAATTTTTCCAATTTCAATGTAACATATACAAGAGTACTCACTCGCACCAAAGACGGATGTGATCCTTATTATCCATGACTATGGCATCCATCCTGTTCTGCAGATTGTCGCATGGTGACGGGTAACAGGCACTTTGGACTCCAGGCAGGCAAACAACTGAAACACAATGCCCATACAGTGAACGAGTTGGTGAGTCAGTTTGGTTTTACGCCAGAAATGGGCTTCACACATTGTACCCATGTCGGGAATCGAACCCATGTCTCCGGCGTGACGAGCGAACGCTTTAACCACTAGGCTACCCGACCGCCACCATACAGTGAACGAGAACAAGTGGGTCGGTCCGAGACCAACACATGTTTGTGTGGTTCATTTCATTCAGATTTTCTCCCCTCACTTTCCCCACCCAACCCCAGCCTTCATCCCCGACGGGTGGATAAAACTATCACGTGCGCCCGTGTGCTGTCCAGATCCCATGCTGGGACCACTGACCAGACTATGTTTCAAACTATTTCTGCGTTTCAGTTTATTGATTATTGAATCTATTTAGTGTACACTCGACAAATTTAGAGGACATGACATGTACAGGTGACTATATTGTTTCGAAAAGTGAATGTTATATTTTATAAGTCCTAATTATGAGAGTGATCTCATTTTCCAAGACAAACTGAAACCCGCTATTTCCTCTCTCAGTGATTCTTTTCATATCAACAGATTATTTTAATAAAATGCAAACTGTGAAAGTTGGTGGATATGGTGATCGTGTGATTGTGCAATCATGAACACAGAATATAGCTCCAAGAGATACTTCTTACTGCATTTCAAGGTTGACATACATGGATGTCCATTCGCATTTTCTCTCCTTTGGTTAATCGGTAAAACACAAAACATACACTGAAGCAACATTATTCATCGTTATATCTCACTGAGTTAGCCTTAGGATACAAGATGGTCTGGTCTGATTAAGTCCAAACCACAGGTATACTCTGTCAGTGCACTATTAACCAGAACAAATAAATGGTCTACATCAGTTTGTTAAGAAAAACACACTAAAGGTTCACAATCCGCCACATGTTCTATTTATAGACCAGTGAAGATCCGGGATAGAATATAGGTCTTAAGCAACACATGCTTGCTGTAAAAGGCGACTTTGAAATGGTAATATCCGAAACGAAAGCACCGAGAGCCATGTCTCGCCCTAGTAGTATGCCAATATTGGTAGAAAAACATGGTTGTGAAGAATTCAATAACATTTCATGAAGAAAATCACTTCATGGCTAGTACTAGACTGTCTGAGTATCAGAAACTGCCCTGTCATCGCCGTCCCAGCGCAGCGTTCTGAACGGCGTACGCCCCGTGATGGTCATTATTATTTTACAATAAAAAGTGACTCGTGAAGATCCGGGGTAGAATAGGTCTTCAGCAACCCATGCTTGCCGTAAAAGGCGACTATGCTTCTCGGAAGAGGCGACTAAACGGATCGGGTGGTCGGGATCGATGACTTGGTTGATGCATGTCGTCGTATCCCAACTGCTCGGATCGATGCTCATGATGTCAATCACTGGATTTTCTGGTTCAGATTCGATTTTTACAGCCCGCCGCCGTGTGGCTGGAATAGTGCTGAGTGCGGCGTTAAACAACAAAGAAACAACCTATAACCAGAAAGTCCAACTTCCTGTTTCAGAAAACACATTTTCATGCATTAAAACCTTAAATCGGAAAGTCCCGAAGATCGATGCTCATGAGGCCAATCACTGGATTGTCTGGTCGTCTAATATCTTTTCGTTTTAGTTTATGTACTGCCAAAGGGAATTGAGAATAAGAACATCAACATATTTTGTTTATCACTGTCACAAGTACAGGTAACGGAGCGATATATTGTCATTCCTCATTCTTCCTTGAAAAACCCCCAATGTATTTGGGGTCAGCGACAATATTTAGTGATGCAGCATGGATTCAATAGGGTGTCGATTGAGGTTGAGGAATTATTGCCTTTAAAGTATAAGGCTGTACATGTGTGTGCACATACAATACTCGAATATATGAGAGGCACTGAAAGTGTATAGTACATGTATTAAATAAGCAATTATTAACTGGACATCATTTATTCATCTTTTTAAGCAAAGATTATTTGATAACCTTCAACAATCATGGTGTAGTTCTATCAATAGTATATCTGATACCTTTTATTATAAACATTTTAAATCCCTGTTAAATGTAGAAAAATATCTTAGACTCCCCATACCAGTACATCTGAGAATATGTATGACTCGTTTCAGATGTAGCAAGTTTAAACTTGCAATTGATTTGGGGAGATACACTCCCATACACTGAACGATTATGGAAATATTGTAGAGAAAATGGTATATCTTTTATTGAAGATGAATTTCATGTTTTACTTGTATGTGAGCGTTATTCAGCCCTAAGAAATATGTATCTTAAACAGTATATCAAGTTTCAAACTGTAACATCTTTTACTGAAATTATTTCATCAGAAAACTTTGATGTTGTATATAACACATGTTTATATCTATATAAAGTCCAACGGCTAAGAGAAACTTAAATCGACTACTTCCTTGGCATGCGTAGTTCATGCAATCAACCATTGTCTGTATTATGGGCCTATGGCCTTCTTACTGAATAAACTGTCTGTCTGTCTGACATCAATACAAAATGAAACAACGTTGCCGGGTTTGGTTCTACACCACACAGACCGCCTCCGTGGTCTAGTGGTACAGCGGCCGCCCGGAGAGCGGAAGGTCCGGGGTTCGATACCCGGCCGCGTCATACCAAAATACGTTAAAAGATGGTACTTGTTGTTACCCTGTCTGGCGCTCGGCATAAGGGGCTAAAACACACTGGTCGGCTCAGAGTCAGTATACTGTGTCTGAGTGGGGTATTCGTGTTAAACTGCGGCATGGTATCTCAGTGAGCTAGCGCTATAAATCGGCATTAGTCCGAACTAGTACAAGCAGCCACACACACACGTGCATGCACGTCGCTTTTTAAGTACAATAATCTTGGACGCGACGTTAAACCCAATTTCACCTCACCTCACCTCTAGACCACACACCACACACCACTGCTATTATTGTGTTGCAACATAATTATAGGACGGCAAATGGACAGTCAAAGATATATAACGCCAAATTCAAAGCTCTCTTTTTTCCCTAAAGTTTGAAATACATTCTCCTTGTTGGTTTCCTTTGTGAATCAGAGTTGTACAGAGTCCATGGCTTGTAAGGGTTCGCTCGTCACGTTTGTTCTGATCTGCCGTTTCATAGCATGCGTTCACAATTTCTTTTAATATCATTGATTAGGACGACACATGACGACCGACCGACACAACGAGTATAAAGTCACGAGGGGGCATGGGTGGCCCAGTCGTCTAAGGCGCCGCGATTCGCTGTGCAGAGTTGCGTCCCTTGGGCACGCCAGAAACCTATGATTGTGGGTTCGAATCCCGGTTCGCCCCAATTATGTTTCTAGGTTTGTCAGCACCATACCTGTGCTCGTGGGTTTCACCTAAGTGCATCACTTCGGGCTTTCATCCTACATTAATCGGACACGCCGTGATATAACTGGAATACTGTTAAAAGCGGCGTTAAACCCAACTCACTCACTCACTCACTCACTAAAGTCACGATATCCCTTTGTCCATGAAAGATGAAAAAACTGATAACAGTTTCACTATGACTCACCTAAAATAACCCCGTCCTGCCTTAACGATTTTTTCATTACGTTGATTGCCACAAACAAATACGTTAAGACGATGTGTTTATAACTTTATTGGTTTACGACTCATTGTTCTCTACTTTAACCAATGGACAGACAGGTTGACACTTTTACACACCTAGCCATAAATATTGAACGTCAGTGCCCGATAACAATCAGTCTCCATGATCTGACAAACATTTTCCAATGGGCGTTATAGGCAAAATAGCGATGAAAATTGCATGAATGGTGAGTTGAGGTGGGGTTTAACGTCGCGTCCAAGATTATTGCACTTATATAGCGACGTGCATGTACGTGTGTGTGTTTGTGTGGCTGCTTGTACTAGTTCGGACTGATGCCGATTTATAGTGCTAGCTCAATGGGATACCATGCTGCAGTTTAACATGAATACCCCACTCAGACACAGTATACTGACTCCGAGCCGACCAGTCCTTGTTTTAGCCCCTTAATGCCGAGCGCCAGACAGGGTAACAACAAGTACCATCTTTGAACGTCTTTCGGTATGACGCGGTCGGGGATCGAACCCCGGACCTTCCGCTCTCCGGGCGGACGCTCTACCACTAGATGACGGTGGTGGTCTTGAATGAATGGATCACTGAAAATCAGTAATATTCGTGAAAAGGGTAGGCATGTCCTGCCCTACACAGTTTGCATAAAAATGACATGAAGCTTTCGCCATGGACAGAAAATACATATTTTGCAAAATATTAGTCGCTTAACGACGAATAGTATTGTTTGTTTCTTTGTTGTTAAACATCGCAACCAACGGGATTTAATCCATCAAAACAAAAATGGTAACAACACAATCACAAAATTTCCGAAACATCGTTTGTTGGAAACATTTACAGCACAAGGGCTTCACACATTGTACCCATGTCGGGAATCGAACCCGGGTCTTTGGCGTGACGAGCGAACGCTTTAACCAGTAGGCTCCCCGACCGCCACACACACACACGTTGATGTGGGTCACGAGCATTGTTTGGTGCTGACAAAGAGACTACCCATACCCCTTTTCTGTTACGACAGGATGTTAGAAAAGCTTCTCTTTATAAGCAGCGATGCGAAATCCAGTTGATGCTTGGCGTAAGTTACACATAGCCAAGACAGACTATTACTAAACCTAATTCGGTGTGCTCCTTACCTTTCATCATTGCCCCTCGGGTTTATTTGGCCATAACAATGGGGTTTTTTCTGAGGCTATGCAATGTAAGATCGTTAAAAACTGTGTAAGATTATTTATATTATCAGCAATTATTCTCAATAATTATATCTAAGTCAAAAATATATTTATGTATCTTCCCGTAAAGTGTTCTGTTTTGTTCTAAAAACGTGAGCAAAATGCACATACAAATAAAAAGATCGTATCCAAGAGATAGAATAAGCTAGCGGAACGAAATATGATATTAATTGCCAATGCAAGAGAATATCTAGTGTAGATTATTCGCCGCAGCAAATTCAAATTGGCATAAAGGGCTTTGTTTGTTTGTTTGTTTGTCGCTTAACGCTGTACTCGTCAATATTTCAGCTATATGATGGAGGTCTGTAAATAATCGAGTCTGGACCAGATAATCCAGTGATTGACATCATGAGCATCGATCCACGCCATTGGGATACGATGACATGCATCAACCAAGTCAGCGAGCCTGACCACCCAATCCCGTTAGTCGCCTTTTACGACAAGCATAGTCGTCCTTTACGGCAAGCATGGGTTGCTGAAGACCTATTCTACCCCGAATCTTCACGGGTCTCCATAGCTGTGAAAATTATATGAATTGACCCCTGAAAATCAGAGAGGACACCAGGTGTTCGTGAAAAGGGTATGCATGTCTAAACCAGTTACGGCTGCATGTTTTGTAAAACGCCACAATCTGCAATATTCCAGCATTAAGAACGCGTGCAAATAACCCCGATGTTGCGCTGGACGACGTACGTTGCTCATAATATCAATCACTGGTTTCCACTTTAAATCAGTGATGCAACGTCGACATCCCACAACACTATCACAACATCACCGAGCTGATCAACCGTGCTGTTACGCCCCTGTTACATCTTGCTGGGAACAGGGGCGGTCGGGTAGTCTAGTGGTTAAAGCGTTCGCTCGTCACGCCGAAGACCCGGGTTCGATTCCTGACATGGGTACAATGTGTGAAGCCCATTTCTGGTGTCCCCCGCCATGATATTGCTGGAATATTGCTAAAAGCGGCGTAAAACCTCACTCACTCACTCACTCACTTGCAGGGAACAAAGGCTAAACCTGCTTCGTGTGGACTTCGAGTTCTCGGGGGCGCAGCACAGGCGTAGACACAAAGTTTATAAGATCGAGCATAGATATACAATTTGTAACTTACGTGCAAACACAAAACCCCAAGACAGCATCATTGCTTCCGTGAATGAGCACTGCACCTGTTTCCACCATGAAGGAATCACAAGTGACCTGAACGTGTTGACGGTGGGGTGTTGTTATATCAGTGAACAGCAATAAATCTTATCCACTAGAGACTCGGAGCAATAGACATGCAAAGGTTCGCCATGTGGTGTCTTATCTGGTTTTGGGGCGGTCGGGTAGCCTAGTGGTTAAAGCGTTTGCACGCCACGCCGAAGACCCGGGTTCAATTCCCGACATGGGTACAATGTGTGAAGCCCATTTCTGGTGTCCCCCGCCGTGATATTGCTGGAATATTGCTAAGAGCGGCGTAAAACCATACTCACTCACTCCCTTATCTGGTTATAAATGTGAGTGAATGAATAGGTTAGACTCAGGGCCGTATTTATATTTGGCGTATTAATTAGAAAGTTGTTTGTTGTATGTGTACATAATCGTGTCTGGATCCGACGGCCAGTGGTCGATATTGTGAGCAACGATCCACGCCTTCGGGGTGCGATGAAACGCAGTGAGCCAATTCATCGAGCCTAGTACCCGATCCATTCCCTTCTTACGACCTGTGTATCTTGTCGGCCACCTTATTCTAACCCTGAGAATTATTGTCCCCCTGAGAGGGTATGTAAGACCACCTCTTTCATTGTATATTTATATCTACCTCTATTTTAACTGCAGAATATTTGTTGATTTTAATCTCTGGCTAAACTTGCAACAATCACCGGTAACTTGGGTAATGGTGTAAATCCTGCTGGGGAACCATGCAGGTAGCAGAGGTACAGTAAGTCCCCTAGTGTGGTGACCTTAACCTTGTTGCTGGTGCTCTATAGCCCCATTTTTATATTGTGTCGTATCCAACTGTTCAAATAGTTTTAATGTTCTACAACTAGTTTTCAGTCAATCTGTGATATATTGCTAGTTATTCTACTGTCCTTCGTCGACAGCTTTTTATTAATCTTGTCCAACTCTTTCAAGTCACATTATGGCTGAAATATTGCCGACGTGACTTTAATTAAACTCACTCACTCACTAACCCTGAGATCTCAGCCAACCACAGGGGTCTATGGGTGTTGGTTGGTTGGTTTGTTGTTTTATGCCGCACGCAGCAATATTCCAGCTATATGACGGCGGTCTGTAAATAATCGAGTTTAGACCAGACAATCCAGTGATTGACATCATGAACATTGATCCACGCAATTGGGATCGATGACATGCATCAACCAAGTCAGCGAGCCTGACCACCCGATCCCGATATTTGGACATGTTGTAGAAATTTACGTCAGTGTCCACATCGTCCACTATCCTGGAAGGTGTATCTTGCCACATATGTTAGCGGGTGGAGACAACAAAATAAAGACATGACACATGTGTATGCATACAAGTTGGAATAATATGGACAGTTTACAATCCTAGACACATTCCACAGTAAGCCATGTTAGATCATGTTTTCACTGCTGTTTTATGTATGGGAACACAAGAAAGTACGGATTTGTCAGTCATTCAAATCTCGGGTTCAGCAAAAGTTTTCGTATCTATTTTTAGTATACATCGTTAGGAGTTTTGCGATCAGGGTGTTAGTTGTCAATTTTAGGTGCTTAAAATGCACTTTAATGAATCCTTGGAGTCTGTAACCTTGAGAAACGTTGTAATGTTATCAATACAAAAATCAGTAAAAAGAAAAAGCAGTAAAGCATATATTATGTTCGACGTAAAGATTACGTTTTGTGTACCATCAAAAGCATGACAGTGATGACATTTCTTCAAAACATGACAAAATCCCTATCAGCCACAACATGAGAGATATTTACCACGAATGTGTGTACCGAACTCTCGAACCTTTTCTCCGATCACGACCGCCTCACCATAAAAATACATATAGATTTGGACCTGTGAAGATCAGGGTTAGAACAGATCTTCAGCAACCAATGCTTGCATTAAAAGGTGACTATGGTTGTCGTTAGCGGCGACTAACGGGATCGGGTTGGTTGTCAGGCTATGGCCAGGCTATGAATTGGTTGATTGGACGAATGTCATCTCATCCCATTTGTGTTGAATGATGCTCGTGATGTCAATCACTGGATTGTCAGGTCAAGACTTGATTATTTGCATGGCCTCCGTCATATAGCTGGCATATTGCTGAGTGTGGCGTTAAATAAAAAAAACAACTAACAAAACATATAAATTTAACCGCTTATTTCAAATTCGAGATAAAAATACTTAGCGCCATCTCGGTCCCAACCCGACTTTACAATAGAACTGTGTACCATGATATCGAAGTTTGAATTTGCCACCGTGACAGCTTTAAGAAATCTTAATTAGAATTTTACTTAACTGTAAACAACTCTCCTCGATACAGGTACAGGAATCCGTAATGAAGTCAAAGAAAGTCATTATTTGCAACATTGTCAAACTTAGTTTCATCAACAGAAACCACGAAACATTTTCGCAAAACCAAAATTCAACTCAATCAGCTGTTGCCAATTTTTCACTTGTTCTGTCACAATGTTTATTGATTATAACCTGTAAAGTACATTTCAATAAGTCATCGAGATACATTTCAATTAGCCTCACCTAACACCTGTTGTATTCTGAATTGATCGTCTATGCAATCGTATTTCTATGGATCTATAATACAGTCTGTTACTCATTTTATTTCGCTTATTGACTATTTTACATGCAAAAAACATGTTTATTCAGACAGGAAAAAACAATTACATCATAGGGGTTTGTGAACACACAGATAATCATCTATACAAACACTTCTACCTTAAAAAACATATAAATTAGCACACACAAATGGCTTTTACAAACAATAGTTGATTTTATGCTTCCAAACAAACCACACGAAAGCTGTTGTTGAATTTTCAAATATATCCAAGGTAAATGTATCCAATAAAATCGTATTTCATCACAAATATCGTGAACTAACCATTTCAGTGCATTTCAACATGGACAAAACTGTTGGAGAAGTCCAATGAGTGAATGTTTATTTAATGAAATAAAAACGTTTTGGTAATTACATGTAGCTGTACATCTTATAGATGTTCCAAGAGAAAATAATATAATATCTAATAGAGGAAAAAGGGCTTCACTTTGAGCACCTTGTTTTCTTTAAGTACCGCGATCAGAAGTGGTATATAGGTAGATATAATACTGGTCTATAGATGTGAATCTATTTCATGATACATATGTGAGGTTTGATTTGATTTTCACAGCCCGGGCCTAGTCGGACCGAACACTTGTGTAACTGTTGAGAGTATAGGGGGAAGACGTCTACTTTAACCAACGTGTCTGCTTTAAATACGATGAACAGTGACATTATAAAGTGGTATTTTCTTAGATATAGTACTTTATCATATAGTGGGTAGGTTTCTCGGCAAGAAAAGCCAACGGATAAAAACGATATCCGTTGGGGTCATATGCGGACAGAGATGCAAATATCAAAGGTCAAGTGGGGACTACTTTCAATGTTTATAAACATACATGGCGTCGCCCTCGTCATTCGGCGATCGAGTCAAAATTTACAATCGGGAATCTGGATAAACTACAGGGATAATTGCTATCATTATCAAAAGAACAGTCTAAAATAGTGAAAATCAGTGTCTAACTGTGACGTAGCTAAGGCATTTTATAAGTTTTGGCAACTTTGGAGATATAATTTATAAATTTCGAAACAATTTTGCGAGGGCACTAGGCTTAGCCAAGTGGGATTAGTAGCCAGGTCTGTGCTTGTAGACCTCTGCGGCTTGAAACCTTCTCCACAAATTAAAATAGTTGGCTTTGGCCGAAATATGTTTGAATTGTTACCTTGTTTCGTTATGTCACTGTGTGTAAATCTGACTACACTTCATTACACAACGAGTTGACAATTGTTTTAGGTATGCCGGTTTGCACCAAGACGGAACCCGGTCGCAAAAAATGGCCGCGAGAGGGGCACGAGTCGCTATTCGGCTTGTCCCGGAATAACACGAGTTGGTCACGAATGCGACTGACACATCAATTCCCTGTGACGTAATAAATATTAACGCGCGCATTCCTGGAAAACTTGCAATGTTTCGGTAATGTTTGTGAGAGAGGGAAAGCGATTTTGAAGCACAGAATTAAAGAATGACATTATATGATAAAGAGGTTATCACGCTTGTGTGTTTGGGGATGGTAAATATCCTACATTAGGAATAAACACTATGTATTTAGCTCGCCAAGGCTCGCTAAATACAATGTTTATTCCTAATGCAGGATATTTACCATCCCCTAACACACTCGCGTTATAACCTCGATATCCTATAATTATAAACGCTATGCCGACAGATGGAAATTGGTTTCGCTATAGCTAGAAGTATTTAATACGTTTCAAATCTTATTTCGTTTAACGATTGCTCTTTCACATGTTACCTCGATCAGCGACGCTTACACACAGCTCCACTTTCTGGTTTTCAAGCGATTTACTCCGAATTACTTAATTATGGTGCACGTTTTTGGTTGGTGATTGTTTAATAATGTCATGTGTGTATGTTGCATCGATAATATGTAGGTATGGTCACCGATAACGATGTAATTAGCCAATAACACTTTGGCCCGTCTTGGCCCGGCCGGCCCGACTTTTAGGCAATGGCCTGTCTATCTCATCCGCAAATAAATAAAGCGTTTGGGGTGGTTCAAGAGATCACATGGTGTTCAATAGACATAAGCACATCGAGAAAGAAACTGTTGCATCGGAATAAAAACAAATATTTTGTCACGGTCAGAGGTAAAAGTGAGTGAAAAGTTTGCAATATTGCAGCCACATAGCGATGATACAAAAATAATAATGAACACATTTAGAATATTTTTTTAATATATAGAAACTGTCGACAATTGACAGTAAAACAACTAGATTATCACAGTTTTGTATTGTTCCGGTCGGCTAAAAGGCAAAATGGCGTAATTCGATATGCTTAGTTGTATTCCTTAGGTCCTACTAAATACGTGCCCTACTGAATACGGTGCACCGGTGCACCCGAGTACACCGAATTAGGTTTAGTAATATTCTACCTTGTCTATGAGTAACCTACACCAAGAGGGACACGGGTGGCCCACGCGTCTAAGGCACCGCGATTCGCTGTGCAGAGTTGCGTCCCTTGGGCACACCAGAAAGCTATGATTGTGGGTTTGAATCCCGGTTCGCCCCAATTATGTTTCTAGGTTTGTCAGCACCATACCCGTGCTCGTGGGTTTCACCGAAGTGGTAAACGTCTAAGACCTGCATCAACTTCGGGCTTTCCTCCCACATTAAGCTGACACGCCGTGATATAACTGTAACACTGGTAAAAGCGGCGTTAAACCGCTCACTCATTCACTCCTACTGAATCCAAGATTTTCCGTGAGTGCCATTGTTTCGGTGAACTTATGTTGGAGTGTTGACAACACTCGCACAACACATCACGTGCATCTTACATCTCTCTACGCTGTGTTGGAAGTTGATGAGTTTTACGACGACCACGTTGCTGATGACGATGCCGTAGGTCATAATGTTATTGCTATTGGATGAGGATGCTGTGCCCTGGGTGGAGTTTTTGGGTTACTGGATCGCTCTGAAAGTTCTACAGATGCAAAGAGTTGGGAAACACTGGCGGGAAACGTGTCCCAAAAGATGCCAGTGTCTGCAGGCTGCTTGGCAAGTCATTCAATGTGTTGCAATAACCGAAATTCAAGCTCAATGTACGCGATAACGTTTGAAACTCAAGAACGGCGTTTCTTGTAGCATTTTTCAGCAATGACATCGATATGGCTATTTTTGCTTTTACGTTTGTTTGTTTGTTGTTTAACGCCGCACTCAGCAATGTTCCAGCTATATGATGGCGGTCTGTAAAATAATCGAGTCTGGACCAGACAATCCAGTGATCGACATTATGAGCATCGATCCACGCAATTGGGATCGATGACATGCATCAACCAAGTCAGCGAGCCTGACCTCCGATCCCGTTAGTCGCCTTTTGCTTTTACGTGGTTGATGGCGTGACAACGTCCTCTACGGCGTGGATCGCAGCTCATAATATCAGTCACTGCATTGTCTGTTTGACACTCTCTTTTTTTCTCTTTTGTTGTTGTTTAACGCCGCACTCAGCAATTTTCCCGCTTAATGACGGCGGTCTGTAAATAATCAAGTCTGGACCAGAATGTCCAGTGACATCATGAGCATCGATCTTCGCAACTGGGATACGATGATATGCATCAACCAAGTCAGCGAGCCTGACCACCCGATCCCGTTAGTCGCCTGTTACGGCAAGCATGGGTTGCTGAAGACCTATCCTCACCCGAATCTTCACGGGTCCTTTTCTAGGTTTGTCAGCACCATACCCGTGCTCGTAGGTTTCACCTAAGTGGTAAACGTTTGTGACCTACATCACTTCGGGCTTTCCTCCCACATGAAACCGACACGCCGTGATATGAAGCGACGTTAAACCCAACTCATTCGCACACCCACTTCGTTATTACGGGGTACACTGGCTCTGTCGTCTGTTTTATTTGTATAAAAAAGTATGCGTTTGTCTGTTGGCTGACGTAGCACAGAATTACACCTGTCGTGCAACGTCGGTAACGAAGATAACTTTCCAAAACAATTCTTATGTGAATATAATTGATAGGGATAAAATCGATGATATCTGTTTTGGAGTGAGTGAGTGAGTTATTTTTTAGCCATATGGGCACTATTTCAGCCATATCGTGACTATCAAAGGTTTACGATTATAAATACTTTGAAAACGTATAAAAAACCTGCCAACGATGGGCAGTAACATAACTAGACTTATCACAGAGAAATATTTAAAACTAGTATGGAATCATAAAATTGATATTACGATACATAACAATACATTATAAAAACAGGCTATGATGTCCAACAACTGAAGGTAGATCACCATACTAGGGACCATACTGGGGACCATGGGGACTTTTGCTACCTGCATGGACCCCAGCTGGATTTACATCATCCCTTCAGCTGTTGGCGATTATGAACACAGTTAGCCATATTAAAACAACATATATTCTACGGTTAAAGGATATGGTAAGAATAAATCTACTTTGAATGACGTGGTCTTACATACCCTCTCCAGGTGACTAAAATTTTACACTACTTCAACCCCCTTCGAGGATACAGCCACTATCAATCTCAGTTATCACATTTATTCTGCTAATTATAAAAAAACTATATTATATACACAACATATTAATCAAAATTTATGGAACAATTCAATTTCTTTTAAAAAAACTAACTGAGAACTGATATTAAAAAGATCCTTCATAGATGTAACCCTTGTGATGGAAAAATCAACACAGTCAAGCAGGACATGCTTGACCGTGATTCTCTCATCACAAGGGATGCACATCGAGGGATCCTCATCTTTCAACAAATATTCGTTTGTGTTACGAGAATGGCCAATACGACATCGTCTTAATACGACCTCTTCAAATCTGGACTGACAACCCAAGTAGGTGTAACCAATAGTGGGTTTAATTTCATGTAATTTATTGTCTACCCGGGTGTCCCACTTCTTCTGCATTAGATCTCGGATGTAACGTCTAATAACAGCTTTATTCTCTCTATAGGGTATAAGAAGTGGTGTCACAGATTTGTTGAGTGCTGCTTTTGCAGCAGCATCGGCCATTGTGTTCCCAGTAATACCAACATGGCTGGGTAACCAACAAAAAACGATGTCGCATTGGCCAGTAGCAAGAACATTTAATAATTCAATGATTTCAATTAAAAGTGGATGTTTACAAGACTGATTTTTAATTGCCTGAAGACAAGAAAGAGAATCTGAAAATATGCTATATTGCTTATGTTTGGATTGTTTACTTATGCCAGGGTATGAAACTCCCAAAAATTTCAGCCAGACCACAGGACTGGCTAGCTGAAATACTTGCCAGCCCTGACCAAAACTTGCTTGCCCACTATAATCATATGTTTCTTAACGGGGTTTCTTTTTGGTTACATTTTATCATTCATCTTTACATGTGAATTAATGCTTATCATCGGGAAATATTTTGAATATTTTCACATATGAAATATAACCCGACCGTCGGGCAGGGGGATTTGAAAATCTGGCAGCCCGAGTTGAAATCAACCCGTCTCGGACGGTCGGGCAGGCAGGTATTTCGAACACTGCTTATGTACTCTGATGCTGTTAATGTGGTCTTGGATTCGGCCGTAAAAATGGAACAGTTATCTGGAAGTCTGGAAGATATAGTCCTGGATCCAATGAGTATCTGTTTTGGAAGATTAATGTGCACAAGAATGATGATAATAATGAGTCATTCCTATGTTGGAATGTAAATGGTCTTTCTTAAGACCTCATTTAAATCTAGCAATGTTATGTAATACATATGAAGTACTTGCTTGGATAGAGACCCGTGCAAAAACACGAGGCTACGCCTGCTTTCAATGTGTCCTAGCCTTCTCATAACACCGACTTTCTGTTTGGCACATATCTGTAAATTAATATAAATATTCTCAAGATTAATGTAATGCATTAACTGGCCGCCGCAAACCAGATATTTCATACTCCACATGTGTGGCTGAACATACTGTCACTCCAGCTGTGAGGGCGGGACCCAATGTGGAGGTCTCCCTAACACCCAGGCTGACACAGAGGATCACTCCTTCGGGGAGTCGGTGATTGGTGTATTAAATTAACGTTACAGAGTCGGCACATATGGGCAGTCCGACTGTGAGATAAGGGTAAGTCAGGCAAGATAACAACCTACTTGAATGTATTTTAAATAAAGACAGTTATCCATAGTTACTCGATACACCCCTGACATGTAGGATGTGGTGAAATATATAGGACTTCGTCATCTTTAATTATGTTAATGAAGGCCTTGGTTGTATAAATAGGGCTATTGATGGGAGCTACTTCACTCTGCCTCCGGTGATCAAACGCGAACGCAGCAGACTTCTCCGGTTTTCAAGGTAAGAAACCATTTCACTTTCGAGTTAATATTCTGCAAGCTGCGATCAAAATACTTCAGGTTTAAGTGAGATGTATTTAGACTATAGCCCCGTTCCACAAAGTGATCGTAGCGCTACGACTGTCATAAGCCTATGTTAAAGAATGGGAGTTACGATCATCTTAGTGCTAAGATCGCTTTGTAAAACGGGACCCTGCTCTCTACCCGGATCTCGATACACCCCTGACAAGTAGGATGTGGTGAAATATATAGGACTTCGTAATCTTTAGTTATGTAAGTTAATGCAGGACTGTGTTGTATCCATACAGCTGTCGGTGATAGCTACGTCACTCTTCAGCCTTCTCCGATTTTCAAGGTAAGAAACCATTTCACTTTCGAGTTAATATTCTGCAAGCTGCGATCAAAATACTTCAGGTTTAAGTGAGATGTATTTAGACTATATAGTTGCGTTGTGACAATAATCGTTGAGAAAATACCTTGTTGACAATACTCCCTCTTGTGAACATACTCTAAATGTATTATATTATCTGGGTCTGTGCCTACGTCAAAAACTTGTACGTTCCCACATTCAGTAACACATGATCATAACAAAGGTTTGCCTGTTTGTTGGTTGTTTAAAGTCGCACTCAGCGATATTCCAGCTATATGACGGGGGTCTGTCAATAATCGAGTTTGGACCAGACAATCCAGTGATTGATATCATGAACATCTATCCACGAAATTTGGATGCGATGATATGCATCAACCAAGTCAGCGAGCCTGACCACCCGGTCTCGTTAGTCCTCTTACGGCAGCATTGGGCCTGTTCCTCAAAGCGATCTTAGCGCTATGGTGATCGTAAGTCCCATACTTTAACACAGGCTTACGATCATCGTAGCGCTACGACTGTCATAAGCCTATGTTAAAGAATGGGAGTTACGATCATCTTAGTGCTAAGATCGCTTTGTGAAACGGGACCCTGCTCTCTACTCGGATCTTCTCGGGTAGTTAACGTTCTTTACTTTGATAAGTCAATCGTCAGGATCAGTGAAATAGGTATGATGTACTTGCTTTAATAGAGATATTTGTTACTTCTGGAGTCAATTGCAAATAGTTGTGTAGGAACCTGATGATTTGAATTTTAACCGATTTGGTGAGGTGAGGTGAAATGGGGTTTAACGTCGCGTCCAAGATTATTGCACTTATGTAGCGACGTGCATGTACGTGTGTGTGTTTGTGTGGCTGCTTGTACTAGTCCGGACTGATGCCGATTTATAGTGCTAGCCCACTGAGATACCATGCCGCAGTTTAACATGAATATCCCACTCAGACACAGTATACTGACTCCGAGCCGACCAGTCCTTGTTTTAGCCCCGTAATGCCGAGCGCCAGACAGGGTAACAACAAGTACCATCTTTAAACGTCTTTTGGTATGACGCGGCCGGGGATCGAATGTTTGCCCCCACTAAAAGATACTGTGACGTAAATGCACGTGTCACAAAGGACTTGAGAGTAACAGCTGACCGCAGCAAAATAGTAACTGTTCTCCACAACGTATCATGGACAACGTTTCTTCTCGCCATCACCCTCCGGAAGGTTATATAACCCTCTTAGAAATGTCGTCAGAAACGGTTTATCCCCAATTCATGATTCTAGGTCTAGCACCATACCCATGCTCATGGGTTTCACCAAAGTGGTAAACGTCTAAGACCTCCATCACTTTGGGCTTTCCTCTCACATTAAGCTGCCACGCCGCGATATAACTGGAATACTGTTAAAAGCGGCGTTAAACCCAACTCACTCACTCACTCACTGATACAAAGGGCATACTGTGCAGTTCAAAGCGGCGTTGGGGAGTTGCGTCCCTTGGGCACGCCAGAAACCTATAATTGTGGGTTCGAATCCCGGTTCGCCATGATTATGTTTCTATGTTTGTCAGCACCATACCCGTGTTTCACGAAAGTGGTAGACGTCTGAGACCTGCATCACTTCGGGCTTTCATCTCACATTAAGCTGACACGCCGTGATATAACTGGAATACTGTTAAAAGCGGCTTTGATCCCAACTCACTCACTCACTCAAAGCGGCGTTATTCACAAGTCACATACTCACTCCTTTGAAATTTGAAGAAAAGTCATGAATAGTATCTTTCAGCTGACACAATGCAAATCCTGGTTTCGGTAATCGTACAGCCAGATGTATTTTCAAAGACACCATACCCATTCGAATCTGAGCAATGTTCATTGGTTAATGGATCCGCCGACCCTAATGTCAACAGTGTTGAAACAGAATTGATAAAATTTAAATTAACCACTGAGCCTCATAAGTTTCTACCCTGAGGAGTATGTGGCATTGAAAGGGAAAAGCTTTAATACTTGTCAAATTCTCCCTCTACTCACGCCATTGTCTTAAAAATAGCAAAACGGCTCTTATATTGTTTTAATTTTATTTCGACCACCCCTAAGGTTTTAAGAAAGGAATCCTAAGAAACAACGAACAGATAAACATATCACAATAGGATTATCTAAACATGCACAGCTCTTTGTCCTAGGTGTCGTATATCCATTTACACGTAACGGACCCATAGAATATTGATCGTGAACAATATATGTATTAACGCACTCATCACCCCTGTGACAATATGATATGCCATGACACCATGTAGCTAATATCTCGCCTACCAATCAGAACGCTTGACACCAACATTATTCAACATCTGCAGCATACAACTGGATGTCATAACTTGTATCCACATATCAAATACGGACAATGCACCTGTACGTACTGATGAAATATTATACTACTGGCAGAAATTAAAAGTCGAGCTTGCGAGTGATTCTTTGGTGACTGGATAGGTTTACATCCCATTAGTAAGACATCCCATTAGTAAGACATCCCATTAGTAAGACATCCCAGTAGTGAGACACCCATTGTTAGACAGTGGAGTAGGTGGGATTAATTAAACAAACACAGACAGTCTACCCACTTAACAATGATTTTAACTTTAACTGAACTCTAAGTGGCGAATACGTTAAAACAATGGATTTAAGGGATGGATGAATTAAAATGTTGAATGAAATGAAGTAAAAGAGGGTATCAAGCATCTTGAGTCATTTCTTTTGTCTATAATAAGACACGTCCATTTTCGTGATAGGGGTTAATTACCTGATTAACATGTGCAACCAGGTATGACATTGTTGTTTTAAGGTGTCTCACAACTGGGCTGTCTTACTAATGGGGGGAGACCACTGGATATTTATCATTCCGAATTCAATCCATCACTGTTTATTGTTTCAAGGCCAAATGACACTGACATCATATCACCTCGAATGTTTAAGGCACTTAAATATTTTCCTCACATGACCTAAATGTTACTAATAATGACATCAAACAGGGTACAGCCTGTATGTATATAAATGATCACAGGAGTTCGTAATTCTTCATATAGTGGTCAATGAAAAATAATGTTTAGCATCTTTAATGACATTACACAATCAACAATTTGCCTCGATATCTTCAATTCCGAATTGTGATACATAGAGAAAGTAATATTAAAAAAATAAATGCACGTTAGAATACACATGCACGCACGCACGCACGCACGCACGCACGCACGCACGCGCGCACACACACACACACGCGCGCAGGCACGTACGCACACCGAACCATGGCCACAATGTTTGAAGCCATTATGCCAGCGTATCAATGACTAAATATTACAACATAATACGTCCATGGACCAAAGGTTAATATAAACATATTTTGAAATCTCTATTCAAAGACTTAAACTCTTCGATGAATCCGGACATTTGATAAGGGTTCGATATCTAGTTGATCAGTGAGTGTATGTTTTGTTTAATTTTGTTTATTATAGCTATATGGAGGTGGTCTATAAATAATCGAATCTGGAGCAAACAAACCCAGTGATCAATGTTATGAGCAGCTATCCACGGGGTATAGTGACACGTAATCAACAGTCACCAAGCCTGACCACCTAATCCATTAATTTGACGGGGGCACGGAGGGCTCAGTTGTCTGAGGCGCCGCGATTCGCTGTGCAGAGTTGTGTCCCTAAGGCACGCCAGAAACCTATGATTGTGGGTTCGAATCCCGGTTCGCCCCGATTATGTTTCTAGGTTTGTCAGCACCATACCCGTGCTTGTGGGTTTCACCGAAGTGGTAAACGTCTAAGACCTGCATCACTTCGGGCTTTCCTTCCACATTAAGCTGACACGCCGTGATATAACTTGAATATTGTTAAAAGCGGCGTTTAACCCAACTCACTCACTCACTTACTCATTAATTTGACTATTACACCCAGCATAAGTTGCTAGGGACGTATACGGAGCGTGATGCTGACAGAAATGTGGCTTTCGAACTCACAATTGTTAAGGGCGTCACTGCTTGTCCCAGGCACGTGCAGGGCGATAGCATGGCGATGACGTGAGGAACTTAAACAACATCCAATTCGGGAACAATTCTTACGGTTAGTAAACACAGATCAGATTCAACTTTGAAAGACAGTCAAGTAGATCTATATCGCGAATTTTATCAATTATAAAGCGGCACGGGTGGTCGTCTAAGGTGCCGCGATGGGCTGTGCAGAGTTGCGTCCCTTTCAACGGTATTCCAGTTACATCACGGCGTGTCAGCTTACTGTTGAAGGAAAGCCCATTGTGATGCATGTTTCAGACGTTTACCACTTCGGTGAAACCCACAAGCACGGGTATGGTGCTGACAAACCAAGAAACGCAATCGGGGCGCACCGGGATTCGAACCCACAATCATAGGTTTCTGGCGTGTCCAAGGGACGCAACTCCGCACAGAGAAATGCGGCGCCTTAGACGACTGGACAACCCGTGCCCCCTCGACGGCATAAACACACTACTGATTCTTGAATCAACTGACAGTGTACAGTGTTCAAAGAAATATCATTTTTTTCAAGGGGCGGTGGGGTAGCCTAGTGGTTAAAGGGTTCGCTCGTCACGCCGAAGACCCGAGTTCGAATCCCGACATGGGTAC